AGAATGGTAAGGTTAATTGTAAAAGGAAAAGTTTATTTATCTATCTCATTAATACCACGCTAGTGTAATGCAAATTAATTATAAAAATTACAAAGAACAAATTTTAAAAAAGTTTCAATATAATTCTTCGGAAGATTAAAGGCTCATCCTTTGAAAGAAATCATAATACATAATATACAGTGCGGGTAAGATAGCAGGGATTGGAGAATCCTCGAAAACGTAGATGTTTCTATATTCGGTAGATGCAAGAATAAAATAAATACTTGAAGCAAAATTTTTAATTCTTCATTTAAAAAATGCTTACCTCTGTTCCATCTTCCATCCAATCTCCGTCTGATTTGTCTTTGCGAACAATTTTCCGCTTCCATCTTCATTTTCATAAAACATAAATCCGTAATCGATACTTCCTTTCACATAGGCCACCACATTGTACGAATTTTCGTTTAAGTTCGTCTCTTCTCTCGCGAGATCCACATTTCTCTTCAAAATCACACCTTCCAAATCATCTGACCAGTTAATCTTGAATTCACATATTTCATTATATTTTTCACTGTTGACATCATTACTCTCATAATTAATCAACGTAATATTTGAACTCTTCCACTCTCCATTGACGCTCGAAGTTGCTGACAAAACTCTGAATGACTCATAAAATTTTATGAAGATATCATAGTATATTTCGACTCCCTCATCAAACCTTTGTTCTTTCCGTAATTTTTTAAACTTTTCTTCGGTCATTCTTTCTTTTCTTTCAGATGAGGTTGGTTCATTTCTTGCAACAAATTCAATTCCTGATGTTCGATTGCTTCCTTCAGATTCATCCGTAAATATCATGGAATGCGATAACTTCAAATAGTAATCAAAAGATTGCGCTCCCTTCCAAATCAATCGGTGCTCTTTGAGGTCCCCTATGTCCACATCCGGGGGGTAGGGTTTTTTATCCACTATTTCCTTAGGTCTATGAATATATAATAATATAACAACTAAAAGAATAAAGATAGATAGAAACTTTAAGAATCTCTTTAATTTCGAATTTTGCCCGTTGAAAGGATCACGGTCGTTGTGGTATGGATGTGGTGGATGTATAAGTGGCGTTGATTCGGTGCCAATTCTAATGTTTGATGCCATTTTCGCAATATTCTTTTGAAAAACTGTTGTCAAATACCACTTACAAATCTTGCGGTATGTACCGTATATATATAAAGTGAACACAGTCGTGGCGGAAAAAAGAATGTTTATTTTTAGCAAACAGGCGTAGCAATAATATTAGATGCATTATTATTAACCAAACGGAATTATCAAAATTATTTAATTCACAACCATGCACTTTTATTTATTAAACAAACAATATTTTATTTTCTTAATTTGAGTCCACTTACTGTTTTTATTATAAATTTTTAAAGTTTTATTATTGTTAAAAAAATTTCTTTCTTTATCAAATTTTTATTTTTGGAAGATTTTTATTGGCTATTATCATAAATAATAATAAAATAAAGATACTTAGCAATAATAAAACTTTAGAATATATTAATAAGAAATAGAATAAGTATTAAAACATAATATAACATAATAAGTGAACTCAAACTTTTGGAAGCAACTGTATTTAAAATTCAAGTATTTATATAATATAGCTACAAGAAATTTATCATAATAAAATATTTCTAATTAATAAGGGTAATACTAAATAATTTTTTTTTTTTAACTGACTTATTCTTGTTTTATTATAAAAAAGATTTTTTTTTTTTCAAAAACTAGTTTATCCTTGTTTTATTTATGAGAAAAAATTTGTTTTATACATACTGTATTATCTTTTTATATTACAAATTTAATTATCTAAAAAAAGTTATTCTTACCAATTAATCTATTGCTATTTACCATTACTAATTGAAATTATGTCATTTGATTGTTGAATTATTGCTGAATTTGATAAAAATTAATAATAAAAAGATTACGAATTATTTACAATTGCTGCTACTTGGCATTAAAAAATTGGCAAAAAATCAGTAAAAAAATATCAGTATATTGTGAAAAAAAAATTTGGCACAAAATCTAACAATATTGTGACAAAAAAAATTTTTACATACTGTGACAAAAAAATTGATACTGTGGTAAAAAATTCAGTAAAAAAATTAATACTGCAGCAAAAAATTTGACAAAAAAATTGATATTGCAACAAAAAATTTAGCAAAAAAATTATTATAATAAAAAATTTGATAAAAAAATTTAACAAAAAATTGATATGGTGGTAAAAATTCAGCAAAAAAATTACTGCAGCAAAAAATTCAAATTTCATAAAATTTATTAAAAAACTATAAAATCAATTGATTAAAGTATTTGTTATTTTTCTCTTCCTCCTCATCCTCCTTTTCCATTTACTTTTCTTTTTTCTTTAAAAATCTCGATATAACTCTTTTAAAACTAACCCAATTGATTTTACCTTGCCAAATATTTTTTGAAATTTTTTACTTTTTTTTTCTAATCTAATTGTCCTTTAAATTTTATTCATTTATACACTTTCTCCAGTTTGTTTTTCACCCTCTGAATACATTAATGATTCCTTATATTTAATAATT